GAGAGAGAGAGAGAGAGAGAGAGAGAGAGAGAGAGAGAGAGAGAGAGAGAGAGAGAGAGAGGGGTATCAAACAGTGCCTCGAAAAAGAAAACAAAAATGCAACCCCGCCAACATTCTGCGACGATCTCCTCCGTCTCCTTCCCCCCCTCCCCTCCCATCCCCCCTTCGGTCGCGGCATAGCTGCGGCGGGTCCACTTAGTATATTAATGATTAATCAGAGATAGGTTTAAACTTAGTCTTATAAAGGGGTGAAGCGAGATGTGATATGAGGTTTATTCTCCATATACTTAAGTGCAGTTTTGGATACTAGTCTGTGTTGTGTTTTGGATACTTGTCTGTGTTGTGATACATGTCCTCCTCGTTCATTTCGATTCAAGGTTGACTAGATTCGGTCTGATCCTACAAGGTTCATCTTCTGTTATATTTTGATAACATGTCGGTTTCCGACTAAACTTTAACTCATTCTCGCAACTTGACCTAAGGCCTTCACCTTTGTGGGTTGAATTGTTTCTTTGAGTTTTTACCCAGACTTTTATTAAATGACCATTTAAAAATGACTAATTGCTTTCTTTTCGAATGTTGGACAAAGGTCGGGGCTTGTGTGTAGTAAGGCAAGGGGTGTGAGCACACAGAGTGGTTGAAGTTGACCCCGTGTAGTGTATGGTCTGTTGAGGTTGAACTTTGTGTGATTACAGGTATGTCTGTGATTTTAGAGTAGGTTGTGACTTGCTGACGATCATTTGCATATGTGGAAGAAAGTCACATGTGATTGTGAGAAGTGATCGCTTTGTGTTCAACGATCATACTGTGTTTGTATTATGTGTATCCACACGAACTTCTTTAACCACGAGCGAGGTCAAGTAGATTTGGGATAAGAGAAAAGAGAGATTCTCTTTGATTTTGTTTGTTGAGTTCTTAGTTGGACTGCTTGTTGAGTTGAGGTCCGTGGCGACTGTCAAAGTTAAACCCCTTGACTTGTTCCAAGGCCTCCAAAGATGAAGCCTCTTTCCATAAGTCAGGGGCGCTTTGCCGTCTCAAAGCGCCGAAGTCTGTCTGTCGCTCCTCTTTACAGTGTGCAAAAGAGGGTAGGACTCGCAATCACTTTCATAATTGTCTAGCGTCATGAGATTAACCCCTCAAGACGCGTGCCAGCCGACACTTGAGTGTAGAAGCGACCCTCAAAATCATTGAGAACTACACAGTTATGAGCACCACATAGTACCTCATCATTGTGACTGCTTGCATATTCATGTATGACTAGTCGATATGATTGCCATGCTATGTATTCAGGGCATCGGGCGAGATGCCTGCTTGCTCTGTCGTCGAAAGGTTATGGGTTGAAAGTAGGAAACGGGACTAGGCGCGATTTACGTGTGAAGTTAATTTTATTTTTATTTTTATTTTTATTTTTTTAGAGTGTATCTCGTGC